TTCCCTACAGGACAAATTAATTTACTGACTGATAAAAGCACACACTTGTGAATGTGAAATCATGTGATCAACTCATTCGGTAATATAACTTGAAAACAGTTGTAAGACAACATAAATGTAGAGAAAACTTTCATCAGCTTTCCTCATCCTGAACACATTTTGTAACGGAATTATAATGAGCGCCTAACTCGTACATATGACGATGATAAGTCAATGTTACCTTCTTAATGTTGTTATACTCATCTCCGATGGTGTAAGGAGTTCCTGTAGCTTGTATAACTTCGATTGGACATTTCAATATATGTGACAACACTTGCAGCTGCAATAAACCAAAATATTACAGAAAAAAGTTGTACATGTTAATTAGTACATTGATTCGTAAAGGAAATAACTTGATTGTAAGAATCAGCTAATCCATATTTATTCTTTACAAGTATATGACATATATCTATATTTACCTCAACAGCACCACCCCAAGCGCTTGTTTGAGCCACATCATTACAATACTTTTCATACTCTTCGGGCGTCAATAGATCCTCAGAATCTGGATTGGAGAGAAATGGTAGAAAATCGTTCATGTTTTCTCTCAAATGATCAGCAGTCTTTGTTCTAAGATCATCTAAACTCAAAGGTATTTCCCCATTTATTTTGAGTTGATGCGCCACTGCATTATATAAACTACAAACAAAAATTCAGGCTTTTATGCATTTGAATAAATAACTCTCAAATAATATCTAAATTGTTATACAGTATATTGTCAGTTCCTTCATTCTTGCCTTTTTCAGCAAAACAGACAAGACTACATACTAAGCAGGAATAATACGAGATCTTTTACCAGTGGCCATCGCTAGGGATTTCGTAGATCATCAAATTCCGCTTGGAAAGAATTTCTTTTATGGCCTCCATTTCGACATTCCTCTTGCCAAAGATGTTAAGCGCCTCCTGCTCGATGATTCTCTGATTGCGTTCTTTTTCCGCAATTGCCTTTTTTTCTCTTCTCTTCTGTGCTTTAGAAATTCTATGTGTCGGCTGTTCCAAGCCACTGTTGTCCTCATCAACTTCTTTGCTCACTTGTGCAGGTTCTGTCTGTTGATCGTTTAAGGTAACATGTGCCAATCTCCATGCATTTAATTCATCCGCTTGTCGTTTTTCTAAGTTTTCCTCTAAGTGCCCTATCTCTTCCGCAACCTCTTTCTTCTTCTTCTTGTCACCTTTGCAAATAGACTTCTTCAAAGTTTGTATGTGCGCTACAATCGGAAAGAGAATGTTGAATCGATTCTGACATTATACAAAAAATTTTAACTTTGTTAAATTGGAAAATTACTAAAATCACACAAATTTACTAAAATAAAAAAAAAAAAAAAAAAAAATATTGGATTGCATGTGACCCATCGATAAGAAATTTGATTTCCGATTCAAGTACCTTGCAACTCTTTTCGTTCCTTCTTATGTTTTTGCGTCAATTCCTCCTCCGTTAATATTGGTTCTGTCATTTTCTCTTAATCAGTTTTAAATATAACCTGTATAATTAATCGTGAACAAAATTTTGGATCAGATCAGCGTGGAAGAATCGCACTTACGTCACGATGGAAAGACTGAGATTTGAGATTCTGAGATTAGAGTGGGAGTGAAAGTTGAGAGGCAGTGAGAGGAGGACAAGAATTGACATAACCACATACTTCTATATCCAATTCGAGATTTCTCTATTAGAGGTGTGTTCAAAACTTCTATCTGTGGGGTAGAGTAGCATTGAATTGACCAATCAAGACAAAGAAATTATTGCTTTTTTTGTCCTGATTGGTCAATTAAAAACTATTTTACTCCACGAATAGGATTTCCGAACGCACGCCGGGTAGGATCTCTGAACGCACCCTAGGCCCTACGTCATGGACGTAGGAAATATCTGGACGGATCGTAATGCCGCAGGGTTGACAAAGAGGAAGGATTGAAAGTTCTAGTATGACGGATATGAACAACCAAGATAGCGGGACAGCGACTATTGACTCCCGCACATAGGATACGGAAACGCTTGCAGCGCGACAAAAGGCGACGCGGTAGCCAATCAACTTACAACTTTTCCATTAGAGCGAAAAATTGATTGGCTACCGCGTCGCCTTTTGCAGCGCGGCAAGCGTTTCCGCGTCCTGTGGGCGGGAACCATATTGGCTCCTTTTCGATATTTCCGAGGGTTTCCCAAAAATAAAAATATCATCATCAGAAACTTCAGATAGGCTTTTATGGTAAATATGTTTGTCCCAACTTCTAGCATCATCCCTTTTCAAAATAAAAGGGGTGGACGGGTGGTCTGAAACACCCTGTATATAACTTTATGATATCACATATATATTTAGTTATCAATTTAATTTTTTATAGATCTTCCACAGAGATCCTGTGAGGGAAGAGGGGGGGGGGGGGTTCTACTCCAAAAGTATGAAGTTTCCTGTAACAAAAGTACGAGATTGGCGAGTAATGCGTTAATGACAGCGAAAGGAGAGAACGGATGTGAAGAGAATACTTAAATCACAATGATTCATGATTTATTAATGTCTCTAATGAAGGAAGTGGAATACAGTGTTGTCCGCTAAGCGTTCCTCTCTCCCTCATCTCCCTTCATTTAGAAAAGAAAACGTGACGTCTTCCGCGCTGCGGTGGAGAAACTTCACGGAATCGCTCGTTAACATCATTATATATATCTGTATATATATAAAACAATTGTTACACACTAGAGCGAGAGCGCGTAATACAAAACACTGACTTCCAGGTAGGTTTTATTATTACAGTACTCCGTAACTTTCATGTGTACTCTAATAAAAATATAATTCTCATTACATCGATCAGTACACACAGTGATTTCGTTCGCGCGCGCGCTCGCGCACGCATTTCCTTCTATATGTGATGTATAAGTAAAATATCTTTTGCAGTCGCTCATCTATTTTTACGGAGTGTCCGCCAAATCACGTGTCTTTGTATGAGGTTTTAATTCAACATGAGCGAGTGAGTTTTGGCCCATTATTCTTTCTCTCGTCGAGCTTTATAAAGTTCGCTTATACGCGTCGACAATAACACAGATATATACCGATTAGAGAGATATAATTGCCAGAGATAATTTTTAATTACTTGGCTAATTGGTTTTCTATTACAATCAAGTTTAATGATCATTATTGTTTAGCCCTTATGAGTTTTTGTAGTGGCGCATTAATTTTGCTTGCAACTGATTGACCTTAATAGCAAATAATCCAATTACAAAAATAAGATTAATTGTTTTTGATTACTTAATTTCATACAGAAAGAGAGTAATCGATTTCACGATCAATGACCGACTAATCATTACAAAGGAAACGTCGGTGCAATCTTAAATCAAGATTTTCCTGCTATTTTTTTGTATTCTTTTTTTGTTTTTTTTTTTCTATTCTCATCACTGACGATAATAACGCATTTAATCAAAGTCAGTATTTTGAAAGATTTTCTTGTCACCGAAATTATCTTCGAAATTTGTGCCATCCGCGGTACATTGAATTAAAATGGGAGATCATTAAACGCACTTCTTTTCGACACGAGGATTTTACGGACACCCTGTAAAAGAATACATATATACATATGTTTTATGCGTACTACATGCCTATACACGTGTATCGCGTATATTCCCAAGTTCGCAACTTGTTGTATACATATACGTATTATTCACGTTTATATTTTTAGATGTAGATGTTTGTATGTATATATATATTGTATATATA